TTTTGACTGAGCTATTCCCTTCTAGGTATCTTCTCCAAGATATGATATTTACAGTGACACATACATACCCACATTTATATCAACAGGTCATATAATAGCTAAATCTTGCAGGTGGCCTGTATGTCCATGAACAGAGAGATGGATAAATAAAATGTGGGATTTATACAAAATAGAGCACTACTCCACCATAAAGAAGGATAAACTTGAGTCATTTGTAGGAAAATGGATGCACCTTGAGTTCATAGTAAAATAAATTAGACACATAAGTTTAAATTCAAATATTGCATGATTTCTCTTACATAAGAGAAAGAAAAAGAATTGAGATGTGTTATGTACATGTACCAACTCTTCACAGGAATGTAATCATTATCTAACATAAACATGTACTAATAAATATAACAACTAATAAAGAAATATAAATAAATTATAGAGGCTGACAGCCTAATGACCCTCATATCATCCCCCACATCCAGTGTTCTGTATAGGTAATCCAATTATTCCAGCACTATTTATAATTATGATTGCCTGAAAGTCCACCTTTTGATTCTTCAACCCTGAAAGATGCATGTTTTCTATTAGAGTTTCAGCTGCCAGGCCACATAATGACTGTGAGCTGCCTTAACATTAAAGAGACTTACCCAATCAAAAATAAAATAAAAAACAAAAAACACCATACCACACGTCTGTCTCATTCTTTCCAGAATCAGGCTGCTTTTTTGCTCTCCTGAAACTTCAGGTAATGATTTTAAAAATCTTGTCATAGAGAATTAGTTATCTGAAGGGGAACTATTCTGCTGGGCACTTAGTCATCTATAGTGGAAGGGAACTCCTGCATATCCAACTTTAACATCTATTAAGTCCTTCTCCATGCTCACCTTTTCACGCCCTCACCTTTCCCCACACATCCGTGTTTGGGTTACTTCTAGCAGCTACCAGATATGAGCCACTCAGCTCTTGCTGTCTCATCTCTACTTGATGTGATTGAGAGCAAACTAAATCTACTCTCTCTATAAAGAATTATCTCATTTTAGGCTCATAAAGTAGACAACTTGACTCTCTTTTCTTATATTGAGGATGGCTCTCAGGACCTTTGCACTGTGCTACCTCAACATTTTGAGATAGAGCCTCTCTAAGTCACTAAATTGCCCAGCCTGGGCTTGAATTTAAGATCCTCTTGCTTCAGCCTCTCAGAGTGCTGGTATTACAGGCATGTACCTCCATGCCCTTCTCAGCTTGATTCTTTTCAAATATTCAAAGCAGCCTAAGGATCATGGGAAATCCCCATGAAACTAAAATTTCTGTTGTCTCCATGTGCCTCACATCAAGGAATAATGCTGTTGTAGTTTGAGATCTGCAACATTGTAATTCCTCAAAAGAATACTGGGCTCTTCTCACTTTCAGTGCCAAGGTACTGACTGTCATTCTGTCCTTGTCGAGAGTCAGTGGGGTGTGTCTTAGGACAATGTCTATGTAAAAGCTCCTAGCCTTGAAAAGAACACCGTCACCCAGGCTTTAAAATATTGAAACATTTCCATAATTTGTAGTAGTGCTTTCTTCTACAATGTCCCACAAAGTGACCTACATGACCCTCACATTTCAGGATTCTTCTGGAGCAAGAAAAAACCAGGACAGAAATAACCTTAAAAAAAGAGGTAGGAGTTCAGATAAAACAAGCTGTCAACTTGGAAATGACAGGTGTTTTGGCTTTGAGATGTTGGCTTTGATGCTGATGCTAAAGAGACATGTGCAGAAGAATCTCAAAAATGGAGACAAATCATTGTGGAACAGATGGTAGAGTGAAGGCCTCCAATATTGAAGAGAAAATGTGTAGCTTTGAGGACTTCTTTCAATTGTGTGATATCAACATGTTCGTGAAGCTTTACATTATAATGTAAAACTTTGGTTTGGATGTGTCAGAGATTGAGTTTGGGAACCAAGAGATTTCTATTTATAAATAACATTTATTTATCCCTTGTAAGAGATGCGAGAGGAATATTCTTTTAGAACCCATATTGGAGGTTTTAAAATAGAGAAAGTAGAGGAAATTTTTCTTTTAGGTGGCTTAAATAACTGAAGGGAAAAACTGGAAGATGTACAGGTCAGAAATAGACAAAAACTAATCTCTGTATTTTTTTTTATCCTTTTATTGGTACATTTTAGGTGTACGATATAATGACATTCATCATTGGAGATATGCACCTTTACATACTTTCTTGGTTTGTAAGTATTATTTTTAATTTAGGGTAGTAGAAATCCAAAGCCAAATTTGTAATATTGAATCAATAAAAACAATACCTGCATAGTACCATGTATGTATTACATCATATCTTTATTAGAATATAAATGTGAAGTAAATGGAACAATATTGGTGTTTTCTCCACCACATAGATGAGAAAACTGAGGCTGAAAGAAATTAAATGATTTAATCAAATTTACATAAACTGACGTGCTGCAGAGCCCAGCCTGGGTCCCAGCCTTCAGCTCATTCCTTACACTCCAGTGGAGGAAATGCAGTCCCATGGCCTGATATCAGCTGGGTGTGTAAGTCTACATCCCTAGCTTAAGGAGAGCTGTGGCTGTTCTGGATGTTCCAAATCAACTGAATTATGTGAAAGACTTTCCTCTGTTCTTTAGATTTGTTTTTGTTTGTTTATGGGCAAGAGTTGGGGGGAAAGCTATACAAAAATATGATGAGAACAGATTCTGCATATGTCTAATAAAGGTGACTATGCACTTGAGCCTTGTTTTGCTTTAGATTCTAATTCATGTGATGGTGCACCTGGACTTGTATTAATATATTAAAATCTATTAAACCTGGACATTG